TTGACGGCAGGCAGGCCCCAAAAAAATAAATAGAAGATAAACTATGGCACTTAAAAAAGTAGAAAGAAATTCGTAAAGTAACCAGGCCGAAGCACAGATACCCTTGCTATACATTTCTATTTTCTGAAACTATGTATCTGTATTTTTACCTGCCTCTGTATCTGTATCTGTATCTGTATTTGTATTTGTATTTGTATCTGTATCTGTATCTGTATCTGTATCTGTATCTGTATCTGTATCTGTATCTGTATCTGTATCTGTATCTGTATCTGTATCTGTATCTGTATCTGTATCTGTATCTGTATCTTTATCTATCTCTGTCTCTGTCTCTGTCTCTGTCTCTGTCTCTGTCTCTGTCTCTCTCTCTGTCTCTGTCTCTGTCTCTGTCTCTGTTTCTGTCTCTGTCTCTGTCTCTGTCTCTGTCTCTGTCTCTGTCTCTGTCTCTGTCTCTGTCTCTGTCTCTGTCTCTGTCTCTGTCTCTGTCTCTGTCTCTGTATCTGTATCTGTATCTGTCTCTGTCTCTGTCTCTGTCTCTGTCTCTGTCTCTGTCTCTATCTCTGTTTCTGTCTCTGTCTCTGTCTCTGTCTCTATCTCTGTCTCTGTCTCTGTCTCTGTCTCTGTCTCTGTCTCTGTCTCTGTCTCTGTCTCTGTCTCTGTCTCTGTCTCTGTCTCTGTCTCTGTCTCTGTCTCTGTCTCTGTCTCTGTCTCTGTCTCTGTCTCTGTCTCTGTCTCTGTCTCTGTCTCTGTCTCTGTCTCTGTCTCTGTCTCTGTCTCTGTCTCTGTCTCTGCCTCTTTCCCTGTCTCTGTCCCTGTCCCTGTCTTCTTCCTATCACTTTCTCTGTCTCTCTCCTTCTCCGTCCCTATCTCTTTCTATGTCCTGTACCTGTACCTATATTTCTATCTCTATCTAAATCTGAATCTGTATCTTTAGTCTATAGCTCAATATCCAAATCAGTATGCAATCAGATCTTTAACGTATGCTGCTAAAACTTTGATTGGATATTGCTCTAGATGTAATGTGACTAAGTACAGAAGAATGTTCCAGTGATCGGCAAAGTTTAGCTTGCGTTGTGCCTCTTCAGATCTGCCAGTCCATGACATTCTTCCGTGTTTTAATGTTTGCCTTGCGCTGCTAATGATGATAATCGCTGTGATCTTCGCAGTGAGATAGATTTGTATCTGCGATCTGTCTTTTGTTGGCTAGTTGTGCGTTAATTGCAGCACAGCTGTGGCACATCATAATATATCTGCCAGCCATTAATTAGCCAGATACAAATGTATCTATGTATCTTCTTTTGCACGTGGATCGTTAGACAATTCGCTAATGATCGCCGCTAACGACCTGACTACGCTAATTGGCAATGCTCAGAACTAAAATGAAGCCCGCCCAGATACAAATAAATACGAATATTCAGATATAAATGAATACATAAAACTATATGTATATATGTATATATATGTATATATAAATATATGTTTTTATATGGATATTTATACTCGCTCGCGCCTTGATGAAGACATGCAACATATAGCTGCTGCTGCTCTCTGATTTTTCATTCAAGTAAAACGCATCCACAAGATACAAAGTATCTCCGTTTGCTGCCACGTCGTGTCGTGAGTTTCAATTAAAGTTCCATTAACGCTTCGCGACACACACAATTATCAAAAATTAAATTTATGCTTATGACATTTCCGGCAGCAGCCAAACACTCCACTACCTCCCCTCCCTCCCCCGCTCTCATTGCATCTCTTGAGATGCAAAATCGAGATGCCACGCTTGTGTGTTTCGGACTGGATAAATAAATATATAGTTATGCACGCAGCTCAGTTTGTGTATTTAAAGACAGCCCGTCCGCAGATCAAAGCGACTTTATGATTATATGCTCCACGCATATCCATCACCATATGCAGCTGATATAACCAACCCCCCCTTAACCTCATTGCCCATCTCACCTCATCCAAACACCCTCACCAAAAGGCAGCTCTCTTCTCTATGGAGTTCATACGGTTTCTGTTCTATCTATTCATTGAAAAGACAGACAGAAACTAACGTCTGTGACACCCTGAATTATACCTGTATCTACAGAACTTAACTGTATACCCTGTATCAATAAGATTCAGTGAAACTGGTCAGGTATTTCATGATATCCTTTATATATATTTCATTTAGTCTTTAGCAAGCTTTCGCAGCAGCTTAAAATCGATATATATCGATGTCAGCATAGTTTCTTTAAGTTCTTGCTGCGAATGCATGTGTACTTTTGCCCTGTACTTTTGGAAGCTATGACACCTTGAGGTACATCGATTGTTGATTTGAATTTTTTCTTTTCGCCCTCTTTGACCATATGAATACATTGTTTTTGCTGCTAGTTTACCCTGAAAATCGATAAATATCGATTATGAAAGCAGCTAAGTGCACAAATCAAACAAATTCGATGCATTCGATGCTTACTGATCTGAAGATAACGACTACAGGGTATCTGCTAGTCAGTCATGCACGCGCCTAGAGCACTCTCACTTGTTACTTTCAGCAAGCAAGCCGCCAACAATACGGCACAGCGGGAGAGCCCACAAGATGCCGCGTGCCCGATATGAATCTCTGTTGCAGGAATTCAGCCTTAGCGCGGCTCTGCACTGCATTCAGTTGGTCTTCGCAGCAACAACAGCAACAACATTAACAAAGGCAACAGCAACGCAGGCAAGACAAATTGTCTACGCGTTGAGGTCTTGGCTATTGGCCTCCAGCGTGACGTTGTCGGCGCTGCACAGAGGCTGGCGCCAGTAGCCGCGGGCAGCGCCACTCAGCGCCCATAATCACAACAAGCATGGCAATGGCACAAACCACACACATGTACACACGCACACACGCACACCCTGGCAATGGGCAGAGGTGTATGGCATGCGCCACGTAACCGAAACCGAAACCAAAACCAAAACAGGCAACGGCAACGCATCGGTAATTAAAAGTGGCATAATGGAATTTGCTGCAGTTAAAAAGGTGGAGAGAGGGAGATGGAGAGGGAGAGGGAGATAGATATAGAGATACGTGTGAGTTGCAGGCCAGGAAGCGCAGCCAAAGAACTAAGTTGCTGCAACGCCTTCACTAGAGGGCTTAGCCACAGCCTGGTGCAGAGTTCAAAACAATTCAAGAATTCAGCTCCGAACTAGGAAATTTTAGTCTTAAATATATACAGAATACATATATATATATATATATATATATATATATATATATATATAACATCAGCTACAGTTATTAGCCATTGGCATTCGAGTCAAGAACTTAACATGAGCTTTGCAAGCTGAAATAATATTATATGTTTAATGTTTGTAAAGCATAATTAATTTCTGTAAGCTCAACAATAAAGACTTAACTTATTAGTGAGATAAGTTTTTTGTAAATTTACAAGCAGCTATTTAACATGAGCTTTACAAGCTGAAATTCTGCCAATTAATCATAGCAAGGTAGTCAGAAAAGAGACTTAGCCTGAGCCTAAGCTTACCAGCAGTTACTTAACATGAGCTTTATGAGCACATAATGTTGAGTCCCATTCAATCATTTAAGCATAAAGTTTGCCAATTTAATAATAAATCGCACTGGGCTAATTAAAATCTAGATTCCGATAAGCTAGCTCAGCGAGAGAGACATCAGACATGAAAAATGTATGCTAAGGATAAAAGCAGACGATAAAAGTTGCTCCAGTTTGACATGGCTGGAGCTAAGGGCGACATGCATTATGGATGCTTCAGCTATTTTAAGTAGAGGAGCTGCCCTAGCCGATGCCTTCGATAAGGCTGAGGTTGAATGGCCACACAGAAACACAAACGGAAAAACGCCATAAAGTGGAGCAAGTGAAACAGAAACTTAGCTCCGGCCACTTCACAGGCCCAGCACGGCACAGCAGAGGAATGCTAACATTTTAAGCACTCACAAAACACATTTGCATTTCTGTTGCACATTCAGGCACAACGAACGCGGATAACCTCAGCTTCGAGCTGAGTGTGTGTAGGTGTGCAGAGTGTGTGTAGGTAGGTGAGTGTGTGTGTGTGTGTGTGTGTGTGACTTAGTCAGGAGTTTTGACTTAGGTTCGGTTTATGTCAGGATATGCCCGTTTCAAGCACAATATGGAGCGTGCAGCGTGCCGGCCGTGGTGCAGTGGTGCAGTGGTGCATGGCCATCATAAATACAGCCACTGACTGACTGACTCACTGACTGACTGCTAGCCCAAATGCATCCGTGAATTCGTAAATCGCCTGCGCTTTTAACACCTAGCCAAACAAACATCAATGGAGCGCTGCGACGGCAAATGTAAATTTGTATTTTATGAGCTTCAGACCTGGGGCCCTTATCCGTAAACGGGAGTCGTACCCAAACCTCTGAGCAAAACTCTGAGCAGTGGAGGGGGCAGCATCATCTGCGTGAGATGTGTGCCAGAGCTTTTCACATTTGACTTTTTGTTTATGCATCAGTCGAACGGAACAGCTGCCGGCCATAAAAAATAGAAAAGTAAAATGACCAGAGTAAGGCCTGGTACTGGCCCCTACCTGGCACACAGCCACGCCCACGCACAGCATCTTCGAAGTGGGCGCTAATCAAATGCTAGCCTACTACTTTTCTCGTCAGAGTTCATGTTGCTGGCACGAAATGTCAACTGCATGTTAAAACTGTGCTAAAAGGTGGCAACCCTATAAATATAGTAACTACTTGCTAAATGCATACGTGTGTGTGCATTTAACAGGCAGCTGCACTTAGCGCAGTAATTGAGCTAATAACATTGAAGCTCGGAGAAAACTTTGACTGCAAGTCAAACTACCTCGTCTTGATGTCAAAGTTCATGTTAAAGTGTGTTTTTATTTGTTTCAAACCTAATGTTAACTGAGTGTTTAATTGACCATAAATGTACTCATCAAAAATATTAATTTATTTAACAGCTGCATTCAGTTCGATGATAAGTCTAAGTCTCGAGGTTAAAGTTATTGTTAATTTGATTTGAGCTTACCTTGCAAAGCGCCACGCCCGTATCCAGACGATCCATAAAGTTCTCTGCCTTGATGTCAAGCTCCGGGTAGAGAGTGCTCAGCCATTCAGCGAGATCCTCTTTCATCGCCTCCAGATACTCTTCACTGGACTTGAATGGCCTGAAAGGCCGCGCCTCGAGCATTGCCATGGCGCCCTAGGTTTGGTTGATAGTTTAATTGAGTCACTCGCTTGTCAACTCGTTCTATTCGTTCTTCTATTCGTTTCCCTGTTACGCGTTACTCAACACTGTCTGAGGATGTGGGGGAAAAAGGTTTCAATTTATAACCAATTGCCGTGCATGGATTTCACACGCTCTTCACTTAGCGTTGGTCCAACACCGGCGAGTCGTGCATTGTCTCGTTCGTTTAGATAAGAGAGAATCGTTACTAGATCTCTCACTCTCTCTCTCCCTCTCTCTTTTTCGCTCTTACTCCCACTGCTTGTCTCTCTATTAAAGCTTTTACTCGTTATTTCCTTTAAAGTTCTGCAAAGATAGTTAGTAGAATAGATAATTAGATAAATAGGTAATTAATAAAAGTTACAAATTTGTTAGTCCAAGAGCATATCGAGTGTTTCATTTTCACGTTCCGCTTGCAAAAGAGCGTGTTATACATTGTGAATCAAAATCTTAAGCTTCAGAGCAGAAAAATATACGATAAGAATAATAAGAATTCAGTTAAAATGGAAATGTGTGTTTCATTCCAGTGTTCCACCTGAGAAAAAGACGACAAAACGCATAAAAACTAATATAAAAAGTCTTAGCTAAGCTAAATAATTATACAATTATAGTGAAATTCTTAGCGAATGTTTCATTCCAACATTCCTTACTTAAAGGTAATGAAAGAATTGCAGATTCTTTAGCTACAATGAAAAGAAGTCAGGTATAAACAAGGAATCAATCTGTAGCAAATATTATATCAAGCGTTTTATTCCAACGTTCCAATATGTTATAAAACAGAAAACATAAAAAACTGAACTAGAACCATAAATCTTTCGCTAATTTTGAAGGAAGTGTTTCATTCCAGCGTTCCACTTGCCACTCTGACATTGGGTACAACGAAAAACCGAAAAGTCTAGCGTAAATCATGAAATGATACATCTTAAGCAACAGTTAACTCGAGTGTTTCATTCCAGCATTCCATTTACCATGTGTCAAATAAATAAGAGAAATAACGAAGAGCCTGGGATAAAACATGATATTATAAATCTTAGTGTTTCATTCCAGCATTCCATTTACCAGTATGCATATGAAGCTGATAAAATATTAATGAATAAAGATAAACGAATGCAATTGAAACAATATTTAACAGCCAGCCGGACAGCAAGAACGTGAATAAATGAATAAACGAGCGAACGCTAAAAGGCATTTCGCATGAGCATTCTTGTCGAAAGTGAAAAGCGGAACATGCCTGCATAACAACTGAATATAACTAATGAACTCCACGTTCAGGAATCTGATTAAGATATAAAAAAAAAAACAAAAAAAAAAAAAACAAAAAAACACTCGGACACCCAAGCGAGATCAAGTGGTATCATAAATTTCAATATGTGCATTTCCCATTAAATCTGCATTCCAAATGCATATTTGCTTTTAATGGATTGTCACAATTCGCCAGCTAGCTGCCACATGCAGCAGCAACGGCGGCAGCAGCAGCAGCAATATATTGCCCCCTCCTGCTACCTGCCGCGCTGTGGCTGTGCCAATGAATGAATGTGGATTGAACGAGCGGCGCAAATTTATGACTATGGAACTGCAGCTGACATAATTGTGGGATACAAAACCACAATAGCAACAGCAACAATGAAATCAACAACAGCAGCAGCAGCAACATCATGCAGCAGCAGCAGCGCAGCTGAAGCAAAGCAGCAACAGCTACAATAACGTGAGCAAACAGCAGCAGCAAGAACACAGCTAGAGCAACTATAGCAGCAGTAGAAGCTACAACATTATCTATAGCACCAGTCATAGCAACAGCAACATCAACAGCAAGAGCAACAGCAACAGCAAGCAGCAGCAGCAGAAACAGAGGCAACAACATCAAAAGAAGCAGCAGCAGCAACAGCTACAACAATGTGCGCAAATAGCAGCAGTAAGAACACCAGCAACAGCAGATGCAGTAGCTGCAGCTAGAGCAACAGTAACAGCAACAGCTTAAGCAATCAGAGCAGCAGCAGCAATAGCCACGGCAACAACAGCAGCAGCAGCAGCAGCAGCACAAGAAACTACAACATTATCTGTAGCAGCAGCCACAGCAACAACAAGAATAGCTGTAACAGCAACAGCAACAGCAACAGCAGCCGCAGCTGCAATGCAAGCGACAACAGTCAACATAATATAAATAAAATCAATAAATAAGACAGAAAAGTATATACACACAGGTGTATATATATATATATATATATATATATATATATATATATATATATATATATAATACATAATATATATATATTGCTGCTGGGCACCAGGTTAATCGAATTGCCAGCGGCAACAGCAATGGCCAAAGAGGTAGGGCGCGTGGGGCTGGCAGCAGGTAACTACATAACATAAGTCGCATCTCGCATGCCCCTTGACACCGCCCTCAACTGGCCAGGCAGCGAGCAGAGCTAATTAGCGGTAAAGCTCAATTGAACTGTGAACTTCAGACTGTGCGCTGCAAGAGGTTTGTGGCAGGCGAAGATTAATGTGGCAACCGCAGCAACATCAGTTGCTTGGCCGCGGCTAAATGTCTCGTCCGTTCAAAAGCAAATCCCGAATTAACCAAGGCTAATCCAGCCATAAAACTTATCGCTTATCTATTTATCAAATTGCAGTTGTTGCTGTTGCTGTTGCTGTTACTGATGTTGCTGCTGTTGCATAAGCTGTTGCAATTTGCACGAAGCATGCGAATTCAATCATTACGCCGACCTTGCCGCTGCCGTAGCCGTAGCCGTAGAACCCATTGAAGTTCGTGACATCGTTTTGACTACAGTGAACCCTCAGTAAGCTTGATTTTAGTGTCGATTTTCCCTATCTCACTCAATTAATCAGATACTTGAAATATTTATTTGATTTCATATATTTTGCCAGCCAAACATATTTCATAATTTCATTGAGCTCATCTTATACGTCTTATGTACTTTAACTTATGCTTTATACCATAATTAATCTCCTCAATGCTAAATAGTTGTGTTTTATACTTTAAAATTTAGTTTAGTTTCATTGCTATACCAAAGATCATCGATCTCATACGACATTCTTATAGTTTATGCTTCATCCACTTATAAATCAATTAATAAACGCATCTCTTATACTTTATACTAAGCTTTCGCAACTCTTATACTATATACCTCTCGTAGCTTATACCAAGTCTTTTGTATTTTGTATCAAGCCTCTTGATTCTTTGTATACCCCAACTTACTACCTTATACGAAATAACTTTAAACTCTATACCAAAACTCTTCAGTCTTATACTTGTTATACTTTTTACAAGGCATCGTATACCAAACCTTTTTCATTTTATACATGGGCTTCTATATCTTACACCACATTTGTTTATCTTCTACCAATAACGCTTTCTCTTATACCCATTCTAAACTCCTTCTTCTAACTTATATCTAACCTCTTCTACGCAACAGTAAGCCGCTTATTTCTTACTCTTATACCGAGGCACTGTTACTGCCTGATTCTTCTTCTAATTTGATCTATAAATTATACCCAGAAATATTTGCCCAGGCTATATATAGAACGACTTCCTTTCTGTTCTTCCTATTCTTCTTCATACTTTATATTATAATCCTTTTTTAACAACTGTCTTATATTGTATAATTTATGCCTTATGCGCAAGGCAACGGATGCAAAATTTCGACTTTCTTTTGAGCAATTTTCTCGCAGGAAAAAAGAAACTCAATTCGTATAAAGTAACAATAAAATTGAAAACTTTAAGAACCTCGCTGTGGAGCATAGTCGACTGCGTAATACTCGCTCGACATTTATCGATAAATTGATGATGCTGTTATAGTGTCTACAAATCGGAATTCAAGGCGTCTAGCCTGCGGTTTCCACTGCTGTACAACGAATATACTCCTCTTCCGCATGGCGAACGAGTATTCAGAAGAAAAAACTTAATTCAACAAAAGAAAAACAATCGCGTATGCAATCGCATTTCGGTTTTGGTTTCGGCTTTGGCTTTTCGTACTCTTTTCTGGTTTTATTTGTATTTTTTTGCTCTTTTTGTATTTTTTCACTATTGCCATTTATATAACGTCACAACGTGGTCTTAATTAGGCTCCAGCTTTAGCCCGTTTACTTAACTCACGGCTCGAATTAAAAACAAGCAAAACTTAATACGACGAACAATAAGCGAAAGCTAAATATGTGCTATATATACGTATATATACTGCGAGCACGACGAAGCACAGATACACTAGCTAAGCATGGATACTCACAGGGACTCTGCGTCTACTACTATGTATCTATATCTGAATCCTGTATGTTCTTGATGAGCGTCAACAGTCGAGTCGACTTGACTTGTCCCAGTCAAATAGAGAGAAGCAGAATGAGAGAGAAAAGAGAGAGAGGAGGGAGGAGAGGAGGGAGGAGAGGAGGGAGGAGAGAGGAGAGAGGAGAGAGGAGTGAGGAGACAGTAGTGAGGAGAGAGGAGTGAGGAGAGAGGAGTGAGGAGAGAGGAGTGAGGAGAGAGGAGAGAGGAGTGAGGAGAGAGGAGTGAGGAGAGAGAGGAGTGAGGAGAGAGAGGAGTGAGGAGAGAGAGGAGTGAGGAGAGAGAGGAGGGAGAGGAAGAGGAGGAAGTGGAAGTGAAAGAGGAGGGAGAGGAAGAGGAGGGAGAGGAGGGAGAGGAGGAAGAGGAGGAAGAGGAGGGAGAGGAGGAAGAGGAAGAAGAGGAAGAAAAGGAGGGAGAGGAGGAAGAGGAAGAAGAGGAAGAAAAGGAAGAAGAGGAAGAAGAGGAAGAAGAGGAAGAAGAGGAGGACGAGGAGGAAGTGGAGGACGAGGAGGAAGTGGAGGACGAGGAGGAAGTGGAGGACGAGGAGGAAGTGGAGGACGAGGAGGAAGTGGAGGACGAGGAGGAAGTGGAGGACGAGGGGGAAGTGGAGGAAGTGGAGGAAATGGAGGAAGTGGAGGACGAGGAGGAAGTGGAGGACGAGGAGGAAGTGGAAGAAGAGAAGGAAGTGGTTGAAGAGAAGAAAGGGAAGGAAGGGGAGAAAGGGGAGAAAAAGGAGAAACAGGAGAAAGAGGAGAAACAGGAGAAAGAGGAGAAACAGAAGAAAGAGGAGGAAGGGAAAGAAGAGGAAGAAAAGGAAGAGGAGGAAGAGGAGGAAGAGGAGGAAGAGGAGAGAGATAGAGGGATCTTCAGCTGCATCGTTTTCATACATTTCATATTTATGAGCTTCACTGCACCACACAAACTTGATCAATCGACGATCTCTCATCAATTTATTAAATAAAATTGATATATTTATTCGATCTGAAGCAGATATTGCTTTAAG